AATATTATCTTTTCTGGAGTTGAAGATTGTTTAATTTAGGGGTGTTTAGAATTTTGATTAATCCAACTAAATATCTAATTTGAATTGAATTAAATTATAAAAATTTAAATCATTTAAATGGTTATTGAATTGAATTGTTTATTTTAATCAATTTAATTAATCTAATTTAATTTTAAAACCAGTTCGAGTAGTTATAAACTCTTTCTACCATTTTATTAAATATTAAAATATTTTTATTTAACAATTTCTATAAATTTAATAAACTATTATATTAAAAGCATAAATGTTTTAATTACAATATTTTAATATTTTTCAATTACTTTAGTTAACGCTAATTATAACTTTTTTCGGTTTAAAAAATTCCTCCCCAAATCTTGTGAAATGAACTTTAAAATTTCAAATCCATCTAAAAAAAATATCATATTTCAAACTTACATTTATTTTCAATTTCAATGATGGAATGTATAAAAGGTTACATTCATCTTCAATCTCAATGATCGAAAGTATTAACGATTTGCAATAACTTTTATTTATACATTGAATGCAATTCTTTTAAAAATCATATCTAACCAATTTTTTTTCTTTCCAAAAATTGCTATATATACTGTTTTTTTAATAAAATTTTTATTTAAAATAATCACAAAATGAAAATTGGTTTTTTAATATAAGAAAACTAGTTTGCAATTGGGTTTAAAAATAATTCAATTCTTTAAAAAAATAACTTGTTTTAAATTAGCTAAAACAAATTAAATTGATTTTAAACTATAAACCAGTTTTGAATCAGTTCTAAATCAAATTGTAACTACTGGTTTAATAGATTAACCACTCTTTGTTAAAATGATTTGAAAAAAAATACACTGAATCATTAATATGATTCGATAGAGTTCATAAATCACGGATACTCCTAATCTCAAACTTCCATTAATTACATGTGCCACTCTTTTTATATGACCAAAGAATTGTGTCAAAATATATTGTTCCAATCCGGCATTTTAGGGGATTTGAGTATTTAATCACGTAATTACGGTGACTTTTTAGTAATGAGAATTTTTAATATTATTTTTAAACCCAACCTTATAAGTGGATTTTGGGTTTAATTTTTGTTCCGTAAAAGAATTAGAATTGTGATTGATTGGATATGTAAATTCTTAATGTGGTAGAGTGGATATTCGATAAGGCAACGCGATGATGGACTTGCAATATTAGTACCTCAATGCGTAACTCAGTTACAAAGTTTAAAATGAGTGAAGTGAAAGTATGATATCAAAAAGTGTGCTTATGTCTCACGTGTGTGAATGGACAATTTTAATGAGTTTTGCATCATTGGAATAAACTTTTGGGTCCTCTATGGATTGTGTTTTTGGTTAGCGCATAATAGTTTCCCTAAGGCTTGAACAGTTGTCACTATAGTGGAGAATGCATTTTCCATCATTTGAAATGTTTCGTTGATTTTCTGGCATGTGGCCTTAGGCTCGCGGGTTAGGGATTGATGCTCTTCTCTAGGACATTCGAATGCATTTGAGTTCGCTTGTGTTTCCAAGGTAAAATCTAATAGTTGATTCTTAACTTTACATATCGTTTTTATCTGACCCATTGGTTGCTTTCTTTGTACAAGGGTTTCTTGGTTCTTTGGATTAATTTTTTGCCACTCATGAAAGTCAGTTTGTTCTTTTGCGAGAGCAATTTTCCTTTCCTTTTCAGAAGCCTTTGCATGAGCATTTGTTTTCTTTTGGAATATAGTGTTTTTCACTTTGCATTGAACCTCTACTCTTTTCGCTTGCTTTCATCCTCTACAGGTACTGTTCTTACCTTGAGCTTATTTTCTCATTTCTAGTCTTTATTTTGATATGGCTCATACAAATGATCGCCATGTAAGCCTGTCTAGTGATTCTGGGAGCAGTGGTCCCTTTGCCTTCATTAGAACAACAATATTCGTTAGTTAGAACTCCAACTTAGCAATTACTAGTCATTATGCTCCAGTTATTATAAATATGCCTATTATTTCTGAGTCAAAGAGGATCTATATTGATTCTCTTGATAGAGAAACTTCTCCTAACATATTTTTCTTCGACAATATTCTTTCTAAGGACGATGCTAGAAGTGATTGCACAGTCAATTATGCGTATGCTCCCTCCATAGTCATTAGGGGTTCAACTCTTCCTATTTTAGATTTACATGAGGTAGAGGTTAATGCCTTGAATAAGGAAGGAGTTCACCCCTTCATCAGAACTTATCGGTCCGCATTTTGCAGGGATCCAAATGACACAGAGATAAAGGATCACCTCAAGCTTGAGAATCAGTCTTCTTATATTGATTGGCTCAGTCCGCCAACTGTAGTTTGGGATTACGAAGTGCCCCAAAGAAGTATCAATCTTGTAGAGCCAAATGATGCAATCAAATATACCTGGATGGATTTTGAAATATTGGTAGCTCTCTCCGCTTTAAATAATCACACGTTTGTGGGGAAGGCTAACATAGAAGTGAGTCATCCTTCTGATTGGTTATTCCCATAGAGTCAGCAAAAAGGATTTGCATTAGCTTTGAGGAATTCTCTATCCCTTTCTACGTGTTCCTATTTACTCGAATAAATTTGTGGCTTCCCTTAACTAGATTCGAAAAAGAGGTGTTAAGGCTCTTAAAGATTTCCCCTCACAACTTCATCCAAGCGCTCGGGCTTTAATAAAGGCGTTTCAATTTTGAGATGACTATCAGCTTAAGAAGCCTTCCAACCGATTATTTTTTTACATATTCACCGTGATGCACACTTCACTGAATAATTTTTCGAATTAGAGGGTTCATCTTACTACGCCAAAAGGTTCCCTAGTTTAGTGCTTACGTTGAGAACTTGGATGATTTTTAGAACCACTTTGTGTTGGTAAAACCCTGCACCCAAGAAGCTCATTCTGTCTTCTGTCAGGTTCATAATGAGGTATCTCTTCGTGTCGATTTCCAAGAGTTTCCTTCGAGTAAGTGTATGAACAGAATTCCGAAGTGTTGGGCCTAAGTTCACTTTAAGCCTGAGATTCATAAATACGTTGTATCCTTAGACTCTCTTACTTTTGAAGAGATTCAGATGAAGGAAGGAAAACCTTGATACTTTTACGAAGGTCTCACATATGAAGAAGGGTTTGGTCCCTTTGAGGAAAGGGACTCTATGTTGAGGAAACGGTTGATTGACACCCGTGCTATTATGGAGACGATTAGTAATCTTGAAAGAAAAACTATTTTTAGAGAAGATAGAGAGTTGTCCCCTCATTACCATTCCCTTTCTTTTTAACATGATTTATTTTTGTTCTTGCAGATAAGATGGTTTCTATGAAAAAATTCTTTTTAACAAAGACATTCTAAATTATTCTTATCCTTTCTAGATTGATTCCTACCTTTATATGATTAATCTATACTTACTATTGAGATACCAAAATTCACAAGATTATCAAAGATAGTCCAATTTTTCTTACCCTATATATAATATTCGAATTCCTTTATCTAAATTATTTATTCATCCATTCATCCTATCACACTGAACATTTATCTCCATACTTAGTTACCCTAGATTTACACAACATCCGTACATAATATATTCAAAACAATCATCAATTATTTTGTCTGCAAGCATTTCTTCTTAAAACAATCTCAAAATTATGTTTCCTATTATTCAAACATCAACTTTGGCTAATTAATTTAAATATCAAATGATGTTGGTTTTGAGTAAACAAATATTCGTTGAAAAGCATACCATGTCTCCTCTACTAATAACATTCTTTTTTTAGAAGTTAAGTTCTTCATTTTGTACATTTTCATGAAACCAAATACAAGGCCACTGAACAAAACAGAGCAACATAATTTTTGCCAACGTGTACTTTATTTTTATATATCCATTTTCAACGAAATTTATTCAAACTAGTCTCGGTCGCGAACTTGGTCCCGTGCTATTATAGTGTACAAATGTTTGTATCATTGTTTTTGCTCTGGATCGGCCATAAGACCCAATTAGACCAGCCCAATTCGAGCGTCCAATCTAGGACTTCATTCGCTCACGTTTGACGAACTAATAGACACTGGCGAGAGGGCTACACTTCAGAGTCGGGCGTCGCACTGGTCTCAACTCTTGGATTCGATCCAAAAGTCTCATGCATTCCACGCTGCACTCACGTGGGAAGGTTCTAATCCTAATTCATATATAAATGTGATTTGTCATCATACTAATGTACGACTCATTCATTCTTACAAGTCACATCTCTCTGATTTCAATAACTTGAGTGTTGAAGTACTAACCTCGCATGTACACCCTCTCTACACTTTCAAGAGGCTCTCATCATCATGCCAAAGAGATTCCACGACAGATTCTGGTAGCATATCACCAATTTTCTGTTCCACGTCAAAATTGTTCTTAATGAACTACTCAATTGACCATCAATTATAACTTTTTCAATCTTCTCTCTATCGAATTTCATCTATTTTCATTCTTTTTTAGAGTACAAGAAACTCTTGCACTAACATATTTATCAAAAATAGTTATAATGATGATTATGGGCATGTTAGTTTATGATTCTAAAAACCACTTTTGATGTTTTAATTGTGTCCAGCAGAATGATATATATAGGTCTCCAAATTTTATTTTATTTTATATAAATTTTGTACATGGCAAAGATATAATCATAAAACCTGTGTAACTTTTCAAGACAAGATCCATAGATTACTCACTCATTTGTCTTTAACATGTGCTAGTTAGGAGTCCAAGATCAACCAACACTAACCAAATTTTTAGGCGTAATGGCCACATGAACACAAACCTCATCAACAAACCAACACTACAAATAAAACCCAAATAAGTTTCATTTTTAATCAACAAAAATGAACGAAAATTTTGAATTCAATGTCTTAATCAGAATGGCCAAAGGGCACTATTAGGTAAAATAACGTTTGGTTACATTACAACAATAACTCATACTTCAACAATTATACATGCAAACTTATATTGGATCTCCTTGAAAGAAGAATCAAATCCCCAACTGATTCTGCAGTTCAAGAATAGTAGTAGCAGAGTCCTTAAGCCTCTTCATCTCCTCTTCAGTCATATGAATATTGGTCACACCCAATACTCCTCCTCTACCAAGCTGCGCCGGCAAACTAATAAACACTTCTCCACCATCAATGCCATAAAACCCCTTTGCAAGAACCGAAACAGGATGAATCTTCCTTTGATTCCTCATTATTGTTCGAGCCAAGTTCGCGACCGAGTACCCTATCGCCCATGAAGTGTACCCTTTTAAACTGATTACTTCGTACGCGCCGTTTATAACCTCTTTGTGTATGTTCTCTAGCATTTCTTTCTCATATGCTATTTCTTGTTTCTCCAAAAAGCTTAGAACTGGAACTCCTCCAACACTAATGCTAGACCATAGTGCCACTGAACTGTCACCATGTTCTCCCACTATGTATGCCTATAGTATCAAAATAAACCGTTAAAATATTGAATTTGCTATTTTATTGTTTAGATATCAAATAACTCATCAGTTAGTTTTAAATTGCAATCTGCTACGACTATTTTAGTGCATGTTTGATATTACAGGAGATTAAATCTTCTGTGATATCAAACATGCGCGATATCGTTGATGTGTATAAAGAAATTGTACCTGTACATCTTGAGCATTGACATCAAGATGATCAGCAATGAGGAAGCGGAAGCGAGAGGAATCCAAGTTAGTGCCGGAACCAATGACACGGTTCGAGGGAAAACCAGAGAGTTTCCAAGCAATGTAAGTGAGCACATCAACGGGGTTCGAAACAATTAGAAGAACACAATGAGGAGAATAACGAGCCAAAGGTGGTATAATTTTCTTAAACAGATTAACATTCCTATGTAGCAAGTTCAATCTGGACTCGTCATTAATCTGACGAGCCCCAGCAGTGACGATGCAGAGGTCGGACCCCTTCGTCACTGAGTAGTCAGTCGAGGCCTGGATCTTAGTGCGGGGGAGGAAAGCCGCTGCATGTTGTAGATCAAGCATCTCACCTCGTAGCTTGTCGGGAATTGCATCGACAAGGACGAGTTCGTCGACGAGGTCTTGTGTGAGAATGGTTTGAGCTATAGCCATTCCCACGTTACCTGCGCCGATAACTGAGATCTTGTTGTGGCGTTTGGTTGGAGATGGTGGTGCCGCGTTTAAGATGGACTTGAAGAAGGATTGAGTTAGGTCCAATCCATCTGGCCCCAAGGATGAACCTGATGTGCTTTTATGCATTTTGGTGATTTTTGTGTGGTGGAAAGTTTGATATATTGCTGTGTGTTTTAATATGTATGATGGTTAATTGAAAGCATGTATTTATAGAAATTTTGAGAAGAAAAGGGAAATTGTAAACAACGGTGGAAGTGAATGGTTTTGGACTATTTCTTGGAGGGAAAGCTAAGAAATAATTTAATAGTCAACAAAGAAACTCTTTATGAGACAATTCTACTTTCCGTTTTCTTGAACCATGTTTCTTCAAATTCTATTTTATGACAAACTTTCTTGCATTTAGTTTAGGGGTGATAGTGAAAGGTAGGCTTTTCAACACTTTCTAGAGTTTTTCAAAATAGTATTACCACTAAGAAACATTGAAAAGTTTGATTACCACTAAAATAGTACTATACAGTGAGTTATTTTTTAAGAAATTGAAAGAATATTTAGTGAGTTGTTTGTTATAATGTTTGGAGGGAAATGTACTCGTGAATATGTTTATTCGAGCTTCGAATAAAGAAAACTTTGTAAGATTTTATGATATGTCTAGTTATCTATCATATATTTATATTTACGTAAAATATTATTTTTGGCCTTGCATTTTAATTTTGAGATTTAAAATTTATATTAGTTCCTTAATCCTTCAAAATGTTACCTATTAATTTTTTTGGTTTTGCTAACCAGTGTTCTCAAAGCACTATTTAAACATTCCATATTAAGAAATTATTCTTTAAAAAATTCAAACACTTCAATTTTCAACGCACATTATTACACATCATTGCACATATTTTTATAAAAACTTACTATTTAAAGTTTTAAAAAGTTCCCTGAAGACACTGGTTAGTATTTCCCTAATTTTTTTGTTCTATTAACAACGAAAAAATTCAAAAATTAATTGTTAAATTTGTGGCTAATTAAATAAAAAAGACTAATTTAAAACGTTTTAAAGAGTTAAGAAACTAATATAGACTTTTTAAAAATTAAAGAAGAAAAATGAACCTTGAATTAAAGATACGAGACAAGAAAATATTAAGTACCGTCATTAAAATGTCATTTATATAGGTAGTTTGATTTATTTTTAAATAAACTAATAAGTAGAAAAATGAAAAATTAATTGCAACTTTGATTTTTAATTTTTTTTTTTTAAGTTTTTGTCTCTTCATTTTAAAATCTGATTTTACTGGTTTCTCTATTTTAATGTTTCGGAATTTTAATCCTTCATCTTATTTGAGTTATATATAGGGGTGTTCAAATAAACCGGTTATTTAAATAATCTATATCCATATCTAAATCTGGTTATTAAAAACCGATTAATTGTTAGTATGGTTTTAACCAAATTCACATTTTGGATATATTTTTAATATGGTTTTAACCAAATCCATAATTTGGACATCCATATCTAAAATAAAAACCAAATTAGTCAAATTTTTTTAATTAAAAAAAAAACTTTGAATTTTTTTTAAAAAAAAGATATTTTTATTTTGAAAAAAATATTGTTTTAATTTTTTTCAGTAAATAAAAATTTTATAAATTTTAAAATAACTATTGTTTAAAATTAATAACCAAAAATTATGATTTTGAAATTCATAATTTTTAAATTCATAATATTGTTAAAATAACAATAGTAATTAGAATTCTAATTTACTCTATCTTTTTTTATTTAAATTAGTCATCCGGTTCACACAAACTAAATGACTACAAAAAGAAAAAATATCATATCTACAATTAAAATAGACTTGCCGTTTAATTCAATCAATGCAAATTTAGATCATATTCTTTTTATTTTATTTTTTAGTTTTTAACCATCTCAAATAAGAATTTTAATTTAATCCAATAACTGTTCAAACGACAACAACCGTTTATTTTTTTTATTGTAATTTATATACAAAAATCATATTTAAATATTAAATAATTATCATTTTTTAATAACACATATTTTTAATTACAAATCATCGAATTATATAGGAAAGAAAAAATAGATAGATTGGAGTAAATGTAACCAATATTATTATTTAATTGTTAAATTGGTTTAATAAATTTAAAATATAAAATTAAACCGATATTTTTTAAATATGGAGGAGATGAATTAGATGAAATGATATATATTTGTAGTTAAATTGAATTCATTCAATTAACTAACTTTTCATTTAATAATGAAGGAATTGAATGAACTTTTTATTCATGAATTTTAACAATAGTAATTATGAATTTAAACAATAGTAATTATGATTTTGAATATTTAGAGTTCAAAAATTATGAAGTTAAAAAAAATAGTTATTTTAACAATATATGATTTTGAAAAAATCAATTTTAAAATAAAATTAATTATAAAATTGGTTATAGATATAACCAGTTAATAACCATTTTAAAAAATAAAAACCGGTTATGAGAATTGGTTTTAATAACCAGTTGTAATATATGAATTATTTATGGTTATAGATTGGTTTTGGACATTAACCATCCATGACCACCCCTAGTTATATATTTTGTGACAATTACATTGTATGTGGTATAATTTAAGGATAAAAATAAAATTTCATATTATTTATAATTAATTTGTATTCTAATAATAATAAAAATTATTATATTTAAAAAAAATGATAAATTAATTGTTATTAAAATTTTAAATTATTTATTTCTTTAGTGAAATAATTTTATTAATCATATTCTATAATTTTAAAATAATAAATATTTATAATTTATAAAATAAAATTAGGAGGTGGGTGGGATTCAAACCCCAATATTTTGTAAGTACAATGAAATATTTTATAATAATGAGTAGATTAAAGTTAAATAGTTTCTAAAACATCTATTTTCAGTAAAACTAAAATGATTCAAAGGTAAATGATTATTTTACTCATATAAGAAGAGAGTGTGGGTGATATTTTTTACAATATCTCAATATCAAAAAGGGAGTGTGGATGAGATTGTTTTTTTTAGTAAACAATGAAATTACTCAAAAGAGTATAAGAGGTGTTTCTTATGATTGAGATTAACAATGAGGGCACAAAGGACAAAATAATAGAATTAGAGGCAAATCACACTAATGGACAGGTGGCAATTGATCCACCTTTGGTGCAAATAAGGAGAAGCGTACGAGAGAGAAAGGAAAACAGAAAATATTCTGTTTGAGTGAGCATAAAAGGGAACAACAAAGAGAGTAGTGGGTGTGGAAAATTTGGTAATCAAATCTCTCTCTCCCTTGTAATTCTGTTGGTGGAGTAGTACTCACCATTATCTTTTTCTTCTGTCCTTTCCTTTAATTCCTTCAAATGGCATGTTAGCCATATTTGCTGAATATAGCAGAGAGAATTTTTCTAAGTTGTAACCTCTGAAATACAATTTAGTGAAACCATATTCTGCATCTCTATTATTCAGTTGTGTTAAATTTTCTGACCATACCATTTGGTGCTTTCATCGGCCACCTCTCTGATGGCAGAAAACACTCGTATGAAGACCATGGAAACAGCGATCGCAACACTCACTGCCACGCTCCAAGCCATTCGCGAAGAAGCAGCTCGTGATCGCAGTGACGATCGAGCACGAATGGAACGCATCGAAGCACAGTTGAGTTCGCTGCAACAGGGTAATGCCTCGCCAGGTGGAAGGAACTCGTCGGGATTTTCAACGTTGATGTCGTCGTCGAACCCACCGTTTCAGGTCAGAAATGTCAAATTAGATTTTCCCTGTTTTGATGGCTCCGATGTTTTGAACTGGATCTTTAGATCGGAACAATTTTTCGAGTATTATGCAACACCAGATCCTCAACGTCTCACTATTGTTGCGATTCACATGGAGAAGGATGTTGTGCCTTGGTTCCAGATGATGGCACGAAACAATCCTTTCCAATCTTGGGTTGCTTTCACTAGGGATTTAGAACTGGAATTCGGACCATCCCCATATGAATCTCCTAGCCAAGCCCTGTTCAAATTAACCCAATCCACCTCTGTTGCTGCTCATTACACCTCTTTTACTGCTTTAGCTAACCGTGTACAGGGTCTCAGTCGAGCTGCCATTTTGGATTGTTTCCTCAGTGGACTCAAACCAGACATCGAAAGAGATGTTATAGCTCAAACACCTCATTCCATTTCCAAAGCCCTTGCCCAAGCCAAATTATTTGAGGAAAAATACACTACACAGACAAAAAACACTTACCCTAACCAACACACCAAACCTTACCCCTCATCCAACTCCAAAAACTCGACCCTACCCCCTTTGCTTCCAACACCACCGGCCAAACCACCATTTAACCCACCAAAAAACCCCAATGTCAAACAAATCACGCCTACAGAAATCCTCCTCCGTCGGGAGAAAGGTTTATGTTACTATTGTGATGCCAAATTCACCATGTCCCACAAATGTCCCAATAAACACCTTTACTTACTACAAGTAGACGACGATGATCGTAATGACCATATTTCTGACCATATCGACCAAACTCTTACCATTGACGAGCTAAGTTCATCCATGGAACATCATCTCTCACTCAATGCTCTACATGGATCTATTAGGGCAGGTACCATGCGATTCAAAGGGAATATTCAGGGTGTTGAGATTCAAATTTTATTGGATAGTGGAAGTTCTGACAATTTCCTGCAACCAAGGATTGCTCACTGTCTAAAACTTCCAATTCATTCTGTAGGTAAATTTCCAGTCCTTGTGGGTAATGGTAGTAAATTGAATTCAGAGGGATATATTCCAGACTTACCAATTTCTATCCAAGGCCATGTGTTACATGTTCCGGTATACTTACTATCTTTTACCGGTGCCGATTTGGTTTTAGGCGCACCGTGGTTGAAAACACTAGGTCCACACATCGCCAATTATGATGCATTATCTATTAGATTTTATTTGCAGAATGCCTTCATCACACTCCATGGTGATAAGTCACCCTTTGTAAGTCAAGCTCAGTTTCATCACATTCGCCGTCTTCAAAACACTCACTCCATCGATACTTCATTCATGTTGCAGTTTAATACTGTTGCTCATCACAAAGCAACTACCATATCCTTTCCCTCTGATAT